CATGAAGAACTGGTCGAGGGTAGGTGCAACCCCCGACTCCGGCACAAAGAGAGATAGCCGGCCACGTAGGAGTGGCTATTGGGCGTTAGCTGGCAGGGGGCCAACCCCACGAATCTCAGGTATTCCAGCAGAAAGGGGTGGAGCGGAAAGCGAAGCCCCATCTCCACCGACAGGGTGTGAACAGCGAAGCACCCTTCGGGCGCGTATCGCAACAAGTCGTCTGCCCCTGGCTCCACCACGCGTGCCGAAGGGCCAACCAGGATTTGAGTGGCCTGGTACTCTGCCGGGGACGCCCTCGTCTTCAGCTCTAGGGCAGCGGTGTTCAGGAACGAATGGCCCTCGGGTACGCCTACCGGCCGCCCAGCATCTACGGCCGCTTGTTTTTTCTTCGGAGCTGCCCTCGTCGTCTTCTTTTTCCTGGGAGCCACACTGATGAGCGTCGGGTTCAAGGGCCGAGAGGTGCTGGATTCCCCGGCACCGCGAGGGGGAAGGATAGCAACCGTCACCTTCATCCTCTCCTTCTCCTCTTCCTCTTCAGCAGTTTGCACGGCAAGGGAGAGCTCTTCGTCCTCATTCACCCGCTCGAAGTCTTCGGCTTCGACCTCGGCCCTGAGGTCCTTCTCCACCTCCATGGCCACAGTAGCGTCATCACCCGCCGAAGACTCCTCGCTCAAAGGCTCGACGTCGGAGTATGTTTCCGTCTCAACCGAGGAATCCCTCGATATGTCTTGGGAATCACTAGCGGACGACATTTTTTATAGGCTAATGAATACGTAAGTTCTAAAGTCCGAAGGCACCCTAAGAAACTCTAGACACTTAAATCTAAGGCCACGGGAGCAAAACTCACCAAGTAAACGGAGAACAGAAAAGGGACTGACCTTGAAAGCTGGGGATTCAACAAAAGGCCTAAAGTTTCTCTCTCTAGAAATTTTGGCAGAGCTTCGCTAACAATATGATCGCACAAGAGAAATGATGCCCGACCATGGGGTATTTATAGGCGCCCAGATCCAGGCTTGGGCCCAAAAACCGGGCCTCCGGTCACAAAATCATCATTACGCGTCGTGGTTTCGCCCAACCGGTAACGCCGCCCACGGCCGGCCAACGAGCACGCACCACGTGGAAGCCCCCCCAATGGCTATATTTTGACGTTAGGTATTCCAATGGCTATATTTACAATGGCTATATTCTGGGAGCTCCCGGCTATATTCAGCAGACCACTCCTTCATCAACCGAGAAACTAGCCCCCAGGCTTTTTACTTCACTCCGCTTCATCAAGAGGAGCCCCCGGGTGCACTTACCCAGAGATGCTCCCGGTTTATGCCCCTCATACTACATAACAAATGCCTTCGGGCTCACTCCTTCAGAAGCCCACGACTTCATAACGGGCACACCCCTCGGGAATTTTCCCCTCAACACTTTGAGGACCAGGTAGCCCCCGGGGAGTACACCTCATTGACGGATAGCCTACGACACACAGGTAACGGGAGCCCTCAGATACCCTCCTCACCAACTGATCAACAAACAGGAGACCCCCCGGTAACACTTCAACTACTACTCACATTCATCACGCCCCCGATCCCCAAATTGAGGGACTCCCCTTCGACACCTCCAAGGATATCAACAGCAAGCCTCCGGCTAATCAACACACGCGCCCTCAGAACAAGGATAGCCTTCGGCATCAGCATTGTACTCCATTTCAAACCAGGGCTTCGCATTTTCGATTCATCGTTGGGGGAATTCGGTGCACTCTTTTTCCCTCATTAGGATTTTTTCCCACATGGTTTTTCCTAATGAGGTTTTTACCAAGGCATCCCCCCAAAATGAAATGAAAAGCGTCAGCCTTCGACCCAATACAGCAACATGATTACTCTACTCCTTTTCACCACTTTGCAAGTGCCTCAAGGAGTGGGGGACTGGAGAACCCCCTCGGGAAAAATCACAAAAAGTGCAAAATGCTAAAAACTCCCGCAAACAGCAAACATGACCCCTCAAGTCCCGACATGTGGGTAACTGAGGGACTGCCCTCGGCAGAATAAACAAACAGCAAACTACTCTCAACTCCACAAACTACAACGGAACAACGGCAGAGGACAAACACAGATTACTCTTTTTCCCTCAAGTACCTTTCGGAAAAAGGAGTGAGGGACTCCTGATGGAGTATATGGCCTAGGAACCCCCGACCCATAGACTCCTACTATTCTAATGGAGGCCCAATAGGCCCAGGAAGCACAGCAGGCCCAAATCACGGCGCCCCAAGTACTAAGCAACCCACGTGGCGCACTAGGGGGTACCTTCGGCCCCCTGGCCGAAGGCTCCAATTCTCACAGGACGGCCAAATCAGGAAAACAAAGTTACTGGGAGAAAATGGCGAAAATCAATAGCCCTCGGCACTTAGAGCCCTCGGCACCAAGGAGGTCCCCGGTACTCAGAGCCCTCGGCCAATCATCTACAGCCGAGAGGACCTTTTCCGACATAATATCCGCTCCACATGCGCATGGATCACCGTACCAAGTACGACGTCACGTCCAACAGCCGCATTAAATGCGGCCAAATGCGATTGTCAGCGCCAACCAGTTGAGGTGACCCCTCAGCCAATGGATGCTTGATACGTGTCCCTGTCTGACATTTATTGCTATTATAAATAGCACCCCATTTCCCCGTTGTAAACCACGCTAAAAAGCCTTAACTTACATATTCAAAACACTTTCTCTCTCTTACTTGCTCTGACTTCTCTCTAGTTACTCCCCGCAGTAACCCCTCGGATAGATACCCCCGGGTACACTTATCCACCATGGGTACTAACAAAATCCTTATTAGGGAGTACTATTTTAACATGTCTATATTATAATCTCTAATGTATCCATTTATTTAGCATTAAAATTATTAAGAATGCATTTACTTTCATTGTTTTCTATCCGAGACCATACTAGATCAGACCTGATTCAAATATATCAGATCAGACTAAACTTTCATAGTTATGATATATACAGACTCGAGACATATACCAGATCAGGCCAGATTTAAACAGACCATACCAAGCCAGACAAACAAATTTCGGTCCAAGTAAAACAATCCCAAATGCAATATTAATTTTTGCTCTTATGGACTAAATATGCATCGAATACGAAGTATAGGAATACAATGTTATACACCATGTGAAATGTGTTATTTTTTTTTTGGTTGACATAAAATTATATTGTACGTAATATGTAATTAGGAAGAAACAACAATTAATTACGAATTTTATTTTTCAATTAGATTTACAGTTGCATATTGTCTAGATTTTTCTTTGTATTATAACGTATGCATTACATTTTGTATTATAGTGTTCATATTTATAATGATGTTTTTTATTTTCAAATTTTATATAAATATATAGTGTCCATATATAATTCATCCATGAAAATTGTGAAGACCGAGTTGAGAAATCGGACGGGAGATAAAAGTCATGGATTTGACGACATGAATTGTTCTCGTGTGGTATACTACTAGTACTATATTACATACTAGGTATATGTGTATTAGTGCATACACGAACTCTCGATGCCTAGATCCGGCACTGCCCCGGGTCGCCTCTTTCTCTCCGGAAATGTAAGCTTCATCTTCGTCTTGCGTTTTTGGGCTTCGGATTCGACCTGGGTGTTCGACAATCGGAAGGCTGGGGTGTAAAGGTGGCCGTTGACGGACGATTTCCAAAGAGGGAGAAAGACGCCGGTAGAATGCGAGAAAGAAGGATGGCTGAGGATGTGGAAAAGAGGGAGAAAGGATGTGCCTTTTTTTTTCTTCTAAAAGAATGGAACGGATGATGTAAAATAATTGAGAGAGAAAGGTGGGGGAGGGTATATATATGGTGTATTATTGATTTTCATTGGGTGTACGATGAGATCCGGGGGTGGTACCATTATTGATATAGTGGGAATGGAAAATGTGGAGCCAATAAAAATTTACATCCCAAGCTCTAAAAAGCTTCTCACTTTGGAGTGGACATATCTATATCATCATTGTATAATTCTATATCAATGAAAAAGACAAATATAATAAATTTTCTTCATCCCATTGATTTCATTGAGTTCTTTACTTGCTGCCACCTCACACTTTTGCCATCTGAGATCCAACAGTACGTAAACAACTAACGCGCTCAGTTCCTGGGAAACTATTATTATCATACATACTGATCTTCTGAATTAAAAAAGGAGGAACTGAACACCAGAGCTCCATTCTCCCGCACACCCTGCACCAGCAATGCATAAAAATACAGAGCAGATCAAGATCGTGTGTGCATATAAACAAACAAAGAAAGAAAGAAAAAGGACGACACACCTACCTTATGGGGTGGGGGTAGCACCTTCCTCTGAGGATCATCACCTGCCTCTGATAATGCCTGCTTCCACTTCTTCTTCAAACTCCCAAATCCCCCCCATGGCTTCTTGCCCCGCATCTCTTTCTCTCCTCCCCCACCACTCTGCTTCGAGACCGGAGGTGAGAAGACTGCCGGCTTCCAAAAAGGGTTTTCTGTAGAAAGCCAGAGCTGCTGCTTGGTCACATTCTTTTCACCTCTATTTTGCTTCACCGGACTGGGGCTTGAGCCGCTCGTCCTCTCATCCTTCAAGTCTATTACAGACCACTCTTTCTTCGATCCAACAATCTCAGCCCCTTGAACTGCCAGCCGTTGCAACAGCGGCCTCTTTGATGAATGGTACTCCTCCTCCGAAATGCAATTGGAGTAGAGTAGCTCCTGCAGGAAGATGAGCTTATCTCTTACGATGGAGGAGTGGTCGTGGTCGGCAGGAGCAGCGACGAGGGAGTCGAGGAGGTGCGATCTGAAAGCAGAGAGCTGTGACTCGGCCACAATCCCCTCCTTGCAGAGCCCCATGAGGTTGAGGATGTGGTGGAAGGAATCTTGCTGCCATTTGAGGTTGCCTGATTGCTGCTTCGACAGCCGCTCCTCGGCTGCGGCTATAGCTGGCAGCCTTCTCTTCTGGAGGACGTTCTTGCACAGCGAGGTGATGGATTCTTGAAGTGCGCTGTAGTAGTTGTATGATGACTGCACCATTCTTACACGCACACAGCGAGGTGATGGATTCTCGATCGATCTCTCTAATCAATTTGTTTTTCTTATCTGGACTGCAACCCAAAACCAACTTTATACTCCGTATTAAATTAAATGCAAACAACGGTCGGTTAGGAATGATTTGTAAACTAGCCGTTACATTTTAAATGTCCCTTTAAAATACTCTGGATCATGCTCAATCAGGAAGCCATATAAAATTGAGTAACATTTGTAAAACTTTCAAAATAAGTTTCTAACATCTATATCTATATATAATACAATTCAAAGGAATCCTAGAATGAAACAAATATGTTATCCTAGAATGAAACAAATCTAATCTATATATAAACCAATCACTTCATATTTTTTTTCTTCATAAACCACGCCACTTTTTCGCACGCTCAGAACTACAACGACGTTGAGATTCTTTTTTCGAATTAACTCCAGAAACTATGACATCTCTTCCTCATGATCTCTTAACAACATTAACACCTGCAAAGGAAACATGGACAATTGTTGTTAAAGTAATTCGTCTATGGAATGTGTATAACAACAACAATAAATCTGGAGGTCCTCTTTCAATAGAATTGCTACTTATGGATGAGGAGGTTAGTAGTCTATGAGATTTATATTTATATATTTATATACACAAATAACATTTAAATTTATAATGAAGAATAGATTAGTACGTTCTACACTATAATATCTACTATATATTAAACTAACAATAGTAGTTGCTATCAAACTGGATCAACACATGAATCAAAATCACAAGTTTGCTATAAAAGTTAACTGGAGGATACTATGACTCTAATAAGTAATCCTTACTTATTAACAAATTACTTATCAAACAGGAGATTCTTTTTTTTTTCAAATTACCTCCAGAAACTATGGCATCTCTTCCTCATTATCTCTTAACAACATTAACACCTGCAAAGAAAACATGGACAATTATTGTTAAATTTGTAATGAAGAATAGATTAGTACGTAATGCACTATCATATCTAATAGTAGTTGCTATCAAACTGGATGGACACATGGATCAAAATCACAAGTTTGATATAAAAGTTAACTGGATACTATGAACTCTAATAAGTAAGGCTTAGTTGACTCATATTTCAAATAAATAATTAGTTAACTGGATAATATGTAAATTGGTTATATAGACAGAATTTGTCAACTGATTAAATACATATAGTTGCTGAAAATATGAGAATATAAGAGAAATTAGTAAAAGAAGATTCATAGATATATATGAGAAGGGTTGCTTAAGCTTTCAGTAAATTGCTTTTTGTTCAAAACTTAATTTGTGTTCCATGATTCTACATAACAAATGCTTCATTTATATTGCAGGGAAATAAAATACAAGCATCAATTCGGAAGACCCTAATATATAGATTTCATAAGGAACTTAAAGAAGATGATGTTTATTCAATCACTAACTTTGGATTTGCTTCAAATAGTGGGGCTTTCCGGGGTGCACATCATGAATACAAACTAAGTTTCCAGTATGGCACAAGGGTTAGTTCACTTGATCACGCACTGATCACTGCATCTCCTTTTACGTTCGTTGAACTTCACGAGATCGCAACCAACTATGATCAAAACTATTTGGCAGGTGATGTTATTCATACTAATTAGAACATTGCTATCCTTTATATTTAATTCTTTATTCTTTATGTCTAATGCAGAAAATACTAACAAATGTTATAGCAATGTGTACCGATTGTGGCGATGAAAAAGAGTATGAAAGAAATGGTCAAATAGGCAAAATGCGAGCCATTACACTCGAATCAAATGGGTACTTTGCTTATTACAAATTTTACTTATTGCAGATGGCATAAATTACTCTATACTAATTTCTCTAATCGGTCTTAATAATGTGAAGTTGTAAGATGGAGTGTGCATGATGGATTATAGGAATCCAAGTATATATAAAATGGAGAGATTTGAGATAATGTGAGGAAGATGAATGAATAGTAGAAATGTGATATTGTGTATGAATTATGAGTTAGGAAAAGTTAGGTTTACAAATGGCTCCAAGAGGAGTATAAATAGGGAAATAATGGGCCGGGCCGCTAATATGGGCCCGGTAGCCCAACTACATAAAAGACTAATCTAGTACATAATTACATACAAATGACATATAAGCAGTACAATAATACAAATGATATCCGTAAGATGTGTGTGGGCCGCTGTCCGGGCCCAATAGTCGTGAGACCCGGGGGTCCGAGTCTATATACTCTATCAGGAGTCCCCCACTCTCTGAGTCGAGAGTATTCGAGGCGAAAGAGAGTAGAACTGTGTGCTGATCTGTCGCCGTCTGGTGAGTAAACTTCATGAACAAAAATTTGAATTTCTGCTTCTTTGGTTAACGGAGACGCTAAGTCCCCCGCTCTTCCAGTCCCCCACTCCTTGAGGCGAGTGTAATGAGGTGAAGAGGAGTAGAGTAATGCGTGTCGGATGATGTCTTCAACAGGGGGCCGAGGGTTGACACCTTTTGATCCACGATGGGGAGATGCCTCGTTAAAAACCTCATTAGGAAAAACTCTGTGGGAAAAAATCCTAATGAGGGAAAAAGAGTACGCCGGATGCCCCCAAAATGAAACAAAAGGTGCGAGCCCTTCGGCCTGGAGATGGAGCTGCAGCGGTGCCCGTCTGCTGGATGGTCGAGGCCGATCTCTAGATGTGGGTAGCTCATCATGATCAGTAGTCCTAGTCATCAAATAAAGATGACTAAGGGATGGGTCGAGCGACCGTCCACAATATGATGTCTGGTTCATCAAATAAAGATGACCAGAACGTAAGGCCGATGGGCCGAGAGGCCTGTACGAGAGCTCCACGTTGTCAAATAAAGATGACGAGGCGATGGTGCGGCCGAGGGGCTTGCATAAGAGCTCCACGTCGTCAAATAAAGATGACGGGGCGATGGTGCAGCCGAGGGGCCTGCATAAGAGCTCCACGTCGTCAAATAAAGACGACGGGGCAATGGTATGGCTCAGACGTCGTCAAATAAAGACGACGGGGCGATGGTGCGGCCGAGGGGCCTGCATAAGAGCTCCACGTCGTCAAATAAAGACGACGGGGCGATGGTGCGGCCGAGGGGCCTGCATAAGAGCTCCACGTCGTCAAATAAAGACGACGGGGCGATGTATGGCTCAGAGGCCTGCATAAGAGCTCCACGTCGTCAAATAAAGACGACGGGGTGATGTATGGCTCAGAGGCCTGCATAAGAGCTCCACGTTGTCAAATAAAGACGACGGGGCGATGGTGCAGCCGAGGGGCCTGCATAAGAGCTCCACGCCGTCAAATAAAGACGATGGGGCGATGGTGCGGCCGAGGGGGCTGCATAAGAGCTCCACGTCGTCAAATAAAGACGATGGGGCGATGTATGGCCGAGAGAGGCCTATATGAGAGCTCCACGTCATCAAATAAAGATGACGTGGCGACGTATGGCCGAGAGGCCTACATGAGAGCCCCACATCATCAAATAAAGATGACGGGGTGATGTATGGCTCAGAGGCCTATATGCGAGCACCATGTCATCAAATAAAGATGACGGAGCGAGATATGGCCGATGGGCCTGTAAATGAGCTTCGCGTCATCAAATAAAGATGACGAGGCGATATATGCCCGATGGGTCTGCAACTGAGCTTCGCGTCATCAAATAAAGATGACGGAGCAAGATGTGGCTCAGAGGCCTACAAATGAGTTCCTCGTCATCAAATAAAGATGACAGAACGATATATGGCCGATGGTCCTGTAGATGAGCTCTTCGTCATTAAATAAAGATGACAGAGCGATATATGGCCGATGGGCCTACAAATGAGCTCTTCATCATCAAATAAAGATGACAGAGCGATATATGGCCGATGGGCCTACAAATGAGCTCTTCATCATCAAATAAAGATGACAGAGTGATATATGGCCGATGGGCCTGCAAATGAGCTTCGCGTCATCAAATAAAGATGACAGAGCGATATATGGCTGAACTCTGGGCTCCTTTAGCCTTTCGGTCGGAGACCGCAAGATGTTCGTTGTATCTGAATAGGGGGACGAGGCGGTGGACGCCTGTCTGAATATGAGGACGACGACGCTGATGAGTCGGTCCGAATATGAGGACGACGGCGCTGACGAACCGGTCCGAATATGGGGACGATGGCGCTGGTGAGCCGGTCCGAATATTGGGACGAGGCGATGATAAGCCATGCGTCGTATGAAGGAATGACTGAGACCGGTCTTGGGGATAGATAATCACGCCGAGGCCGAGGGGCCGATCGTGATGTGCGGACGGAGATGATGAGCCGATCCGATAATATGATGACGAGGCAAGAATGAAGCCAATCGTCATACAAGGGCGATGGTCACCATCCAGGAAGGGATGGCGAGCCCGATCGCTAGCTCAAGACTCTCGGCGCTGAGGAAGCCGGTCTTGAGATAGATAGTCACGCCGAGGCCGAGGGGCCGGTCGTGATGCGCGGATGGCGATGAAAAGAGCCAATCCGAAATATGATGACGGGGCAATGATGAGCCGGCCGTCATATAGAGGCGATGGTCACCATCCAGGAAGGGATGGTGAGCCCAGTCGCTAGCTCAAGATCGCGTTGAAGACCGAGGGGTCTGCCGCGATGTGAGCATGGCGGCGATGATGAGCCGTTCCAATAAATGATGACGAGGCCATGATGGGCCAATCGTCATATAAAGGCGACGGTCACCATCCGGGAAGGGATGGTGAGCCCGATCGCCAGCTCAAGACTTTCGGCGCTGAGGAAGCCGGTCTTGTGAGGACGACGACGATGAGGAGCCGGTCCTATAATATGATGACGAGGCGCTGAGGAAGCCGATCGTCATATAGAGGCGATGGTCACCATCCGGGAAGGGATGATGAGCCCGATCGCCAACTCAAGACTCGCGGCGCTGAGGAAGCCGGTCTTGAGATAAGATGATCACGCCGAGGCCGAGGGGCCGGTCGTGATGTGAGGACAACGGCGATGAGGAGCCGGTCCTATAATATGATGACGAGGCGCTGATGAAGCCAGTCGTCATATAAAGGCGATGGTCACCATCCGGGAAGGGATGGCGAGCCCGATCGCTAGCTCAAGACTCGCGGCGCTGAGGAAGCCGGTCTTGAGATAGATGATCACGACGAGCCCGAGGGGGTTGGCCGTGATGTGAGGACAACGGCGATGAGGAGCCGGTCCTATAATATGATGACGAGGCGCTGATGAAGCCGGTCGTCATATAAAGGCGATGGTCACCATCCGGGAAGGGATGGCGAGCCCGATCGCTAGCTCAAGACTCGCGGCGCTGAGGAAGCCGGTCTTGAGATAGATAATCACGCCGAGGCCGAGGGGGTCGGTCGTGATATGAGGACGACGGCGATGAGGAGCCGGTCCTATAATATGATGACGAGGCGCTGATGAAGCCGATCGTCATATAAAGGCGATGGTCACCATCCGGGAAGGGATGGCGAGCCCGATCGCTGGCTCAAGACTCGCGGCGCTGAGGAAGCCGGTCTTGAGATATATAATCACGCCGAGGCCGAGGGGGTCGGTCGTGATATGAGGACGACGGCGATGAGGAGCCGGTCCTATAATATGATGACGAGGCGCTGATGAAGCCGATCGTCATATAAAGACGATGGTCACCATCCGGGAAGGGATGGCGAGCCCGATCGCTGGCTCAAGACTCGCGGCGCTGAGGAAGCCGGTCTTGAGATAGATAATCACGCCGAGGCCGAGGGGGTCGGTCGTGATATGAGGACGACGGCGATGAGGAGCCGGTCCTATAATATGATGACGAGGCGCTGATGAAGCCGATCGTCATATAAAGGCGATGGTCACCATCCGGGAAGGGATGGCGAGCCCGATCGCTGGCTCAAGACTCGCGGCGCTGAGGAAGCCGGTCTTGAGATAGATGACCACGCCGAGCCCGAGGGGCCGGCCGTGATGTGAGGACAACGGCGATGAGGAGCCGGTCCTATAATATGATGACGAGGCGCTGATGAAGCCGATCGTCATATAAAGGCGATGGTCACCCTCCGGGAAGGGATGGCGAGCCCGATCGCTAGCTCAAGACTCGCGGCGCTTGAGGAAGCCGGTCTTGAGATGATGGACGGCGCTGGGCGCTCGTCTGAGAATGAGGGACGGCGCTGGGCGCTCGTCTGAGATGATGGACGGCGTTGGGCGCTCGTCTGAGATGATGGACGGCGCTGGGCGCTCGTCTGAGATGAGGGACGGCGCTGGGCGCTCGTCTGAAATGAGGGACGGCGTTGGGCGCTCGTCTGAAAATGAGGGACGTCGATGGGCGCTCGTCTCAGAATGAAGGACGGCGCAGGGCGCTCGTCTAAAAATGAGGGACGGCGCTGGGCGCTCGTCTACAAATGGAGGACGGCGCTGGGCGCTCATCTAAGATGAGGGACGACGCTGGGTGCTCGTCTAAGAATGAAGGACGGCGCAGGGCGCTCGTCTGAAAATGATGGATGGCGCTGGGCGCTCGTCTAAAAAATGAAGGACGACGCTGGGCGCTCGTCTGAAAATGAGGGACGGCGCTGGGCGCTCGTCTACAAATGGAGGACGGCGCTGGACGCTCGTCTAAGATGATGGACGGCGCTGGGCGCTCGTCTGAGAATGATGGACGGCGCTGGGCGCTCGTCTAAAAAATGAAGGACGGCGCTGGGCGCTCGTCTGAAAATGATGGACGGCGTTGGGCGCTCGTCTAAAAAATGAAGGACGGCGCTGGGCGCTCGTCTGAAAATGAGGGACGGCGCTGGGCGCTCGTCTACAAATGGAGGACGGCACTGGGCGCTCGTCTAAGATGAGGGACGGCGTTGGGCGCTCGTCTACAAATGAGGGACGGCGCTGGGCGCTCGTCTAAGAATGAAGGACGGCGCAGGGCGCTCGTCTAGTATTTGCCTGATATGTACTTAGTATTGTTGTGGGGATTTCATTTTTTCATTGCTCGAGGCCGGCAAGTGCGCGCGGTCCTCGGCTTCCCTCTTTTATTTTTTCTTTTTCCTTTTTTTTATTTCCGTTTTCGTTCCCTATTTCGGGGAGTATCCTTCTTTCAGGCTTCGGCCGAAGGGTGTGCTCGTCCTTCGGCCGGTTTGGACTTCGTTTATAACGTCCGTGATCTCAGGGGGGTCCCGTCGCCTATTTATGACGCGGGCTAGACTTTTGGTTGGTTTCCAACGGCTGCCGTTGCCCAACCCTGAGTGGGGGGATTTTGCCACCTCGGCCATGATTTCAGGCCTGTCGTCCTGCGATCTGGCGCGTGGACGACGCGGTGAACTTCCCATTTCAAGACGCGGGCCGTTTGCGGGCCCCTCGTCCTGGGGACATCGTCGGCCATACCTGGGCGTTTCACTCTAGGCTTACGGGGCCAGGACGACGTGCTCTCTCAGCTAGGCCTGAGCCCTTCGCTGATACAAAATACAAAGTGGAGCATACCTGAGCCTTTCGCTCGAAGGCTGCTGATACGACATGTGGTATCTTCTATTTACATTTCCAAAAAATAAGCGGAATACAATAGGTGTGTTGTTCATGGCAACGGCTTTTGGGCGACGCGATTAGCGTCTCGAAGAACGAGGCGTACCGTTTACCGCTCTTAGGCATAATGCCGTATGCGGCCGGTAGCGGCTCTCATTTTTAGATGCCCGAGTCACCAAATAAAGGTGACTAGGGTAGGTCGACGGACCTAAATATAATTCGAATCATCAAATAAAGATGTTCGGTAGGCTAGAGCCCGGGTCCACCACTTTGGGGATTTTTGACCCGGTTTAATGCCGGTGATAAAAATAATAACGCTAATAATAATGCATCATTAGCGACCTCGGGAAATTTTAATCCCTCATAACGATCTTCACCACCTCGGGGGTTTTTAACCCGCCATAATGGTGGTGGAAATAATATAATTAATAATAGTAATAATTATACTACTATCATTTAATAAATATTTTAAAGGTATAAATAAGAGTATTGGGCTGTTGGATACTTAGCTCTTGAAATTGGGCTGGAAATTATTGGATTGCAAGGGCTGAAACTGAGGCCCGTTCTTATGGCGAGAATCAGTCTTGGGCTTGAAGTGGTCCTAGCCCACTCTTTCTTGACTTGTCTTAGGTTTGGCAGACCTTTTCTTGCTCGACAGAAAATCAACGCACGTACGCACCACCCTTCAGCCGCACACCAACTCCTCGACAGAAAATCAACGCCAAGCTGCCCTCCAGCCGCACACCAAGATGTGGGAAGAAGGCCTTCAGTCGCATTTGGCTCGCTCTGGGGCATGGCGGCCTCAGACCGGAAGAAGAGATGCGACCCTCAGGCGGAGGTCGTCCGGTAGATCCCCAGGAGTAGGCAGGCGGCTCTGTGGCGGGGATGAAGAAACTCAGATTCGGTCACCGTCATCTTCCGGAGCTCTGAGGTGGCCATTAATGGTGGACCTCCGAGCTTCCCTTGAGTTGCGATGGTGACCGGAGCAGTGGCGGGGCGACCAGGCGCAGCGCCGGCAAGGCTGTGGAGCTCGTACTTTGTGCAACGAGCTGCAGACGATAGCTTTTTCCGTTGGCGTGCGGCGGCGACCAGGGCGGCGAGGACCTTCCCGGTGAAGACATCTCCGGCTTCTGTGTGGGAAACCCAGATCTTCATCTCTGGATCTTTCTTTTGATTTTTCCAGATATATTTTTGGTGGATTTTTTGTGATTTGGATGAATTTTTTGTATTTTTTGGGAGGGTTTTTCACTTGATTATGCTCTAATCTCTCAACGAGAGCACCATTGATGGATTATAGGAATCCAAGTATATATAAAATGGAGAGATTTGAGATAATGTGAGGAAGATGAATGAATAGTAGAAATTTGATATTGTGTATGAATTATGAGTTAGGAAAAGTTAGGTTTACAAATGGCTACAAGAGGAGTATAAATAGGGAAATAATGGGCCGGGCCGCTAATATGGGCCCGGTAGCCCAACTACATAAAAGACTAATCTAGTACATAGTTACATACAAATGACATATAAGCAGTACAATAATACAAATGATATCCGTAAGATGTGTGTGAGCCGTTGTCCGAGTCCAATAGTCGTGAGACCCGGGGGTCCGAGTCTATATACTCTATCAGTGCATTATTTGGGCAATATTTTGATCAACTCACCGATTTTAAAGCCTCTATTCATTCTCCCCAATTTGTTGTTATAATTCAACTCGCCAAAGCAAAGACCTAGAAAGGTATGAACCCTCATGTTTTATGCAACTTTTTCTACATTAAGATTTACTCTTTGGATATACTCAATTGTGCGTTTTATTGTCACAGACATTATCTCATTGAACAATGCAATGAATTGCACCAAATTAATATTCAACCTTTCATGCGTTGAAGCTGACAATTTAAAAAGCATGTATGTATAAACTTTCACATTACATGTAAATTTCAGTAATTTTTAATATTTTTATTTAAATATTTACATTATATTATAATTTTGGAAGTGATTTTAAAGTTAGTTTAAGTTATTGACTTTCTTAGACTTTATAAATACTCTGTATATGTAAATTTACATAAAGTAGATTAACTTTTTAAAATTCCTGCATATAAAATGTCTAAGGCTTCTTACACTTATTTGACTGAAATCCAGGTTTCGGATTAAACTTCGTGTATTGGATGACACAGATTCAGCAACATTCGTGCTTTTTGAGCGAACCGTGACTTCTATACTAAATAAGTCATGCAGTGCCATGATAGAATCAACAAATAAGGTCATTACTTTCATCTTTCATATTCCAGTGTAAACATAATGTATTATGGTTTCTAAACAAATAGCTTTGTCGCTCTTTTGATTCTTTTAATATAATATGAATTTATTTACCGCAGATTACTGGCCCGCTATCAACTAATCAACTCCTCCTGATATTATGGACTTGATAGGAAAATCATTTGTGTTCAAGCTTGAAGTCAAGAAAAAAGTTGACTCTCGATTTGAACCAGGACTGTCTCCAGGAATTTTGGGGTAGGTGCCCCAGACAAAAAATGACTAATGAGATCAAATAGTACTTCAAATTAATAACGTAATTAAAGATTGCACTACTTCATCTTTTCTTTTCTTTTCTTAATTTTTCTCTTTGAAGCCCCCGACTCTTGTTTCCTTTTTCCCGTCATAGTAGACACTACAAAATAATAATTTAGCACTAATTATTAGGTTATTACGGAAAGACCGTTTAAAAAGAACAATTTCAGATTAAATTTGATAACAGAATAATTTTAAGAAAATTAAATGAAATATATATCAGTAACACAAAATTTCAAGTTTAATACAACTTATAAATAATAATTAATAAATTGGATGTAGAATAAATCTTTACTTGGTTTGCAGACGGGCAGGACTGGACGTCGACCAAATGGGTAGAGCCGTCAGCCATAGTGCGGACGTGCGGTCACGGTCCATCCATATTCCTTCCCGCCCGTAGTATACTAGGGATTTTTAAAATTTTATTTAACTTAATAGGGTAACTAGGTGATGGATGGTGTACCCGGGGGTAGCTTATCCGGGGGGTTATTGCGGGGAATAACAAGAGAGAAGTCAGAGCAAGTAAGTATAGAGAGAGAAAGTGTATTCAGAAAGTATGCAGCGTTTATCACTTGGTTACAAATGGGGAAATGGGGTGCTATTTATAGTAGCAATAAATGCCGGACAGGGACACGTGTCAAGCGCCCATTAGCCGAGAGGTCACCTCAACTGGTTGGCGCTGGCAGCCGCATGTGGCTGCATTTAATGCGGCTGTTGGATGAGACGTTGTACAGGGTACGGTGATCTGTACGCATGTGGCGCGGATATTATGTCGGGAGAGGTGCCCTCGGCTGCAGAGGACTAGCCGAGGGCTCTGAGTGCCGGGGACCCCCTGGGTGCCGAGGGCTCCAGGTTGCCGAGGGCTACTGTTTTCTGCCGTTTTTCTCCCAGTTTCTTAGTTTGCTTGAAAAACCTGTTATGTGAGAGTTTTGAGCCTTCGGCCAGGGGGCCGAAGGCACCCCAGTGTGCGCTGTGGGCTGCTAAGTGCTTGGGGCGCCGTAATTTGGGGCCTGCTGTGCTTCCTGGGCCGGTTGGGCCTTTATTGGTGTAGTAGGAGTCTGTGGGCCGGGGGTTCCCGGGCCATATACTCCATCAGGAGTCCCTCACTCCTTTTGCCGAAAGGTACTTGAGGGAAAAGGAGTAATTTGTGCTTGCCCTTTGATGTTGTCCCGTTGTAATCTCTGAAGTTGGTGAGGAGTCGTTGCTTTCATGTCCCTGCCGAAGGCAGTCCCTCAGTTACCCACATGTCGGGACTTGAGGGATTGCTTGGCCGTTTGTTGGAATTTTTCACCATTTTGTAATTTAATGATTTTCCCTAGGGGGTCCTCCAGTCCCCCACTCCTTGAGGCACTTGTAAAGTGGTGAAAAGGAGTAGAGTAGTTGCGCTGCTATTGTGGGCCGAAGGCTGACGCTTTTCGTTTCATTTTGGGGGGATGCCTCGTTAAAAACCTCATTAGGAAAAACCCTGGGGGAAAAAATCCTAATGAGGGAAAAAGAGTGCACCGAATTCCCCCAACGATGAATCGAAAATGTGAAACCTTGGTCAAAATGGGGGATAATGGTAATGCCGAAGGCTCTCCTTGTTCTGAGGGCTCATGTGTTGAGTAGCCGGAGGCTTGTTGTTGATGTCCTGGGAGGTGCCGAAGGGGAGCCACTCGATCTGGGGATCGAGGGCGTGATGGATGAGGGCAGTAGTTGAATTGTTACCGGGGTGTCCCCTGCTTGTTGATTAGTTGGTGAGGAGGATATCCGAGGGCTCCCATTACCTGTGTGCTGTAGGCTATCCGTCAATGAGGCATACTCCCCGGGGGCTACCCGAGGGGGAATCCCCGAGGGGTGGCCTGATATGAAGCCTTGGGCTTCTGAAGGAGTGATCCCGGAGGCGACTGTTATGTACTGTGTGGGGCACAACCCGGGGGCGTCTCTGGGTAAGTGTACCCGGAGGTTCTTCTTGATGAAGTGGAGTGAAGTAAGAAAATCCGGGGGCTCCCAGAATATAGCCGTTGGAAATGTAGTCGTTGGAATATGTAACGTCAGGATATAGCCGTTGGGGGGGTACACGTGGCGCGTGATGATTAGCTGTCCGTGGGCGGCGTCACCGGTTGGGCGAAGACACAGCGTGTAATGATGACGGTCCATCCGGAGGCCCGGTTGGTGTAGTAGGAGTCTGTGGGCCGGGGTTCCCGGGCCATATACTCCATCACTAGGGCTCTAGGCTATTTGGGTCGAGGGTAATAGAGTACTATTCTATTCCTTCCTAATTCCTATTGGGCCATCCGGCCAGGCAGCACGCTGACAGACTGAATTGTCGTAGTGCACTAATTCTGGCCGCTATTGAATTGCCGCAAGGGGCATATCTAATCATCTAATTCCTTAATACTAGTCCGTATATTTATATATTAATATATATAATACTTCCTCCTGTTCTTATTCAAGTTCGTAGTTGGACTTCACAATTATTTAGGTGGAAAAGTAATTGCCTTTGACTTTCCATTTATACCCTTAACAAACAATAAATAGGTGGGGTAAAAGTAAAGGGTGGGGCACGGTAAAACATAGGAAAAAAGAAGAATAAAGTAAGATGAAAGAGAGTAAAGTGTGGTTCTGTTTACATAAGTACGGTCCAAAAAACTTCCCTCCTAAAACCCAAAATAGAAAGTTTTAAGAGGACATTTCCCTCCTAAAAAATTTGACTTCTACATAAAGCACCCCATGAGCTCGGTCCAACCACACACTGTCTTAACACTCTCTTCTTCACATGAAATGGAAAGTTCTTCATTTCTGCAGTCTTCTTCTGCCACCCCTCTTGGTTCCTTTTTTGAAACATCTTCTGAATCCTTTGATCTTAATGTCCCACCTCTACAAGATGATACAAACCATATTCTTGAACTGATACCTGCACCAGAAGACATAGCAGAAGAAAATGAGCCACAGTACACAGTCAAGAAAACGTGGCCGAAGCAAACAACAGAACAAAGAAGGCGGATTATAGAGGTACTACTAAGCAAAGCAACAGATGGAAAACTTCAGAGGGGCGTTATTACAAATGTGTCCAAGGAGTTTAACATTTCTACAAGGACTGTACACAAATTGTGGGTGACAGCAAAGGCACATATGGAGTGTGGAGCTGCCATTAATGTGCAGAGCAAATGGACAGGTAACGTGGGACCAAAACGAATTCAATTTGACATGGAAAAGATGTCACAGGTTCCTTTGAAGAATAGAAAAAACATGAGGTCTTTGGCATATGCAATGGGGGTGTCAAAGGCAACTGTGCAGCGTTGGTTGAAGGCAAAGAAAATAAAAAGGCATTCTAATGCGATTAAGCATTTATTGAAAGAAGAGGGGAAGAAGAAAAGGTTAGAGTTTTGTCTCAGTCATATCCTGCCTCATTCACTACCATTTACCCCCAGTTTTCATGACTTCTATGACCATGTACACATAGATGAGAAGTGGTTCTATCTTTCTAAAGAAACAACATGTTTTTACACCTTACCAAATGAAGAAGACTCATACAGAACTGCGCAGTCCAAAAATTTCATACCAAAAATAATGTTCATTGCTGCAGTAGGTAGGCCTAGGCTGGGAAGTACTGGGGAGGTACTATGGGATGGGAAAATTGGTATTTTCCCATTTGTGTATGAGGACACAGCAAAGAGGACAAGCAAAAACAGACCTGTCGGGACCTTAGAGACCAAGGCCACTACAAGTGTGACCAGACCAGTCATAAAGGACATGATTTTAAACAAAATCATACGAGCTATCAAACAAAGTTGGCCAGATGCAAACAAACAGGTTATCATACAACAGGACAATGCCAGACCACATTTAAATGTGAATGATGCTGAATTTGTCAAAAGTGGGACAGAAGATGGATGGAAAATCCAACTTCGTTGTCAGCCACCAAACAGCCCTGATCTCAATGTGCTTGACTTGGTTTTTTTTAGGGCTATTGACTCTTTGAAAGATCAAAAAGCCCCAAAATCCATCAAGGATTTAATAGAATCAGTACAAACAGCATATGATGAGTTAACACCTCAGTGCCTAAATAAGGTGTTCTTAAGTTATCAACTTGTCATGGAAGAGATTCTGAAGCATAATGGTGGAAATAACTACAAACTCAAACATATTGGAAAAGACAAGTTGGAAAGAAATGGATTATTACCCACTAATATCCAGATCAGTGAAGAGGTTTATTGGGCAGCAAAGACACATTTGGATGGACTACTAGCAACAAACACATCAGCTGAAAATGCAGGGACTCAGTTCACAGATGAAGATAATCTGGATCTTCAACTATGAACTGTCTTACATGAGGATTAATGAAGCTAGAATATTGTTAGTACACATTTTTGCCTAATGTAAGTGTACTTTTTTGTATGTACTTTCCTTGCTTGTAAGCACAGTTACTTGGTGTACTTACATGTGCAAGTGTTAGCACACTTTCACAATGAACCGTGTGACAAAATCTTTTGCAATGTCTAATGAACTCTTTATCTTTTTTTTTGTGTAACTTGGCCTCCTGCATTTACTCAGTGGGCTGCACAAGTACACAAAAGCACAAGAATGGCATACCACACATTATTTCACAACATCACCACACAAAAATTCACAAAGTGTTAAACTCAAAGCCCCTAATCATCATCAGTTTCCAGATTATAATCTAGGGGGCAGAAGGATGCACAGGTTCACACAGGGGAAGAAAATAACACATGCAACAAAATTATACAGGGAAATAGACAGATTACTGCCCTTAGAACTGTGAACCTCATATGCGCTCCTTAGAGTCCAAATCGAACTCCTCATCTTCCCCAACAGTATAGCTCGCTTCTGACCCTCCTCCATTCCTCTCAAAGAATGCCGATGTCACCTCTTCGCCATCTTCCTCCAAGTCATCCAGCCCTGAATATGTATCACTCACCAACAAGGAACCGTACATCTTCCTCATCCGCCAATAAGGGTCTGTGTCCTCGCTTTCAGGACCAAACCGAACAAATGGTAAAGATTCTTGCAGATCTGAGGTTTCATTGGATTTCAAACCATTCAGATCTAACTCAGGTTCTGATTTGCGAACACGTTTCGTAGGCCCAACAATCTCTTTATCAGCGTTCGGACCAGCCACAGGACGGTTTCGTTTGGAGAGAGTTCCATCCATTATTGGTGGTCGGATGAAGGTTAGGTTAACCGTGGAGAAGGGGCAACAAAGGAGGCAAACAAGAGGAGATAGATCTGGAGGGGGGGCACGTAGGAGAAGAGGGAAGGGGACCGGCAGAAGAGAGAAGGTAGAAGGTCAGTAAATGGGGCGGTGCTACCAGAACGAAAGAAAATGAGTGGAGGGGTGGGTAGGAGAGAGTAAATGGGGCGGTGGCAGAGGGATTTTATGGGTGGGGTAGGTGAATGGAGTAAATGAGGTAAATGGGATGGGGATATTTGTGTCTTTTACCCTAAAAAACTTTCCTAAAATAGAAGTATGAAGTTAAATAAGGGACGACCCGAAAAAGAAAGTGAGAACTTTAAGAACCGGAGGGAGTAATAGCTTTTTTATTAAAAATTGATGAAGTGGTGCCCTAGGCAACTGCCTAGGTGCCTACCCCCATGACCGGCTCTGATTTGAACAATCATATGTGGTTAACAAACTATGCTCCAATAAGGAAATTATTAGTAAGTTCAAGGAATTGACCCCTGCAGAGGTAATCAGTTTTACAATATTACTACTATTTATGTTTAGCGTACCAATTTCATCTAATGACTGTTTTCTCATATTCAAAATATTTATTAAACAGGGAGGTTATGGTGATATAGATCCACTAAATGAGATTGTTTTTGATCCGATTCACCAGGTAAATAATTAATTATCTTAAATATGGGGCTGCTTTTATGCACTGCTTTTTACTTACTAATTAATTTTTGTGCACTCAGAACTTGACGCCTAAGATTCCCCAAGTTAATGAAAACGAAAACAATGAATCGGGAAGTAGTGGAGAAGGATGCATAAATTTAACACAAGATTCAAATGACTCAAACCATGAAAAGAAAAGATCCTACGAAGAAGAAGACATTGATGAGGCAGATAAATCAAGTGCTAAAGTGTTGAAAACAACAATAAAGATTCAGAAGCTTTAAGATTTAAATAGCCTTGATTGTTCATGTTTTTTATGTTTTTACTAGACAATTATTTTAACAATATTGCTTAGAACTCAATTATTTGTTCGTGCCTAATTCTTGAGTTTGTTTATTCATAAAGTATTACTTAATTACTTTACGAATATTGCTAATAAATCAATTATTTGTTTGTGCCTAATCCCTGAATTTCTTCAAGTCAATTTCCATTTTTCATCAAACCATCACATTCACCTTTGCCCATATTACTAAAGATAAGTAATAAGGAATTATCATTATTAATCATCGCATTCACTTTTATCACTAAATCATAACATTCATCCTTATCTAAATTATTATCTTGAAATAAAATAAAATATTAGTATTTGTTTATTTATTGAACTATTACTTATAAATAAAAAAAATCAGTGTATAATCAATATTTAAATTTACTGAAAAACTAATTATAAAAATACTAATTGAATTTTAAATTAACATAACATACACACACATATTTACATTTTTATATTTAATATCAGTTTACAATTAATATTACTATCTATATATAACACAATCCATCTATATATAATCTTTATATATATATATATATATATATATATATATATATATATATATATATCAATATATATAATACAATAATACAATTCAAGGTTAAAATATTAATGTTACTATTTACCCAAAAGATAGTGTTTTGCTAAACTAAAGTGGTTGCATCTATTATAACTCAATTGATTTTATTTGGTAAAATTATTCAATTCCGAATTTCTTTTGTTTAATACCGTATATTTTACTTCTTATCAAATATTTAGACCATGCAGTAAACAATATTATATAATCTAATATGAATTTATTTTATAAATAATACAATAAAATTACAGTAATATATGCAAATTTTATGTTAACCACCAAATCAATATTAATCAACAATTATTATTGTAGTAATAATTGTTAATGCTTTGAAAAAACACTTTACTAATCTCACTTGGAACAACTATGATGTGGGAAAATAGAAAACACTTTGTATTATTATTATTATTATTGTTGTTGTTGTTGTTCAACGCAGCTTTTCTGAATGCACAAAACCTGATGTGTATTGGAGACTATTTCCTAAAAGCACATCTAGCCTGAATTAGAATCATATTAGGTCTCATAGATTTCATACGTACATCTATGTTTTCAGATTTCTACCAATGCAATTATTATGTCCAGGTATCTCAATTGAACTTAAACTCTACTAATCAATGTTCTATTAGGTTAGTGTTTGACATACGTCAAAAATTCCACCACAAGTCCATGTGCAGGACAAAAACAGAGATCATATCTAGACCTTGCTATAACTGTGCTGCAAGCGAATCTGCAAATATACAAAGAAGCGTACAATAATGGATCCAAATCAGTTTAAAAATGCTAGGATGAGAAGAAAACTAATCATCAACAACAAATCACGTAAAAGTAGTTCTCTTGATAAAAAAATTTAACCCACAAGAGCCTCAGAACCACTATTCTAATGGAAACAACCAGAAAATTTCAGGATTCAATTTATCAGTGTTTCCTCCAGGTAAGTACTACATTGCTGCAAGTAATATTCATACAAAATACAATGAAATTTTCCGTTTAGCAAATGACAATTTAAAATTCATTATCTTATCTCTGTTCTTAAAAGTTTTGATATACTTTCTCCCACTGATTTCAGTCGTCCATATAAGAAAATCCCACTAATACAAGCTATCTTCTATAACTAATACACAGTTTAATTGATGGTGTTTTCTTAATATATGTTATTGTCCACTTCGTCTAATAAAGTTTGAAATCACTGACTCCCCCCGCTCATTGATTGTACTTTAATGGTATTTTGGTCACGACTTAAAAACTCAGGTGCACGAGATCATTCTGACGCACTGCCCTCAACAGGTATTTTGTTACATCTTTATTCTATACTTATAACTAACACACTACTTTTGTTTTTCCTTCGAATGTATATTCTTATTAATTAATAGTAAATATTATTACAAGTAGTATAACTATTATTAATGCATTTTTAGGAATACTATTTCGCTCTGAAGAATATCTACGAGCAGAAAGTGCAGGTAATGATTACCATCATATGAATCCATGTTTTGGTAATGCAATAACTACCACTTTGTTATATATATGGGATAACAACAAATAAGATGTCACTTGAACATATTTCAGCTAAATATAATATCAGTACTAACAATAAATAATGCAGCGACCACATTTTAACTTCCTAAACTATCAGTACTGACACCAATTAAGTTAATGCAGAAATTGTAGATTTTGGGCCTCCATCATTTGTTTGTGACCACTGCACAGCACAACTATGGTTTGAGGAGAGAGCTAACAAAGCCTCAAGGTCAAACAAAATCGAATTTTCAATTTGTTGTATGAAAGGTAAAGTGCAACTCCCATTTTTGAAAAGGCCTCCCCAACTACTGCTAAGATTAATGAATGGATATGACCATAGAAGTGCTCATTACAAGGAAAATATAAGAGCGTACAACATGTTTTCTTTCACTTCAATCGGAGGGAAAGTCGACTCTTCCTACAACCATGGTGGCGGTCCACCCCAGTTCATTCTTAATGGCCAAAATTATCATCGCATAGGCCGTCTTATTCCAAATGAAGGAGTTATGCCTAAATTTGCCCAACTATATATTTACGACACTGAAAATGAAGTGTCAAACAGATCTTCCATTTTAAGTGAGTACAATGACACACAAGCCAAAATGTTCTTTATGTTGTATTTAATTTTGATAACACACTGAAGTCATATTTGTGCAGATTGAACGAAAATCACAAAGAGCTTGATCAGACTTTAATAGAAGATCTCTCAAGGATGATCGATCAACATAATGTCATGGCTCAATCTTTCAGGAGAGTAAGGGATTACTTGCAGAGAAATACGAGCTCAAATTTATGTCTAAGGCTGTTCAGGAGTCGGGCAAATGATGCCGAACTTATAATTTACCTAGCTCTAATGAGGTGGCTGTGTTGATTGTTAGGGATTTAGAAAACATGGAACTAGGAAGAGATATTATTGTAAAGAAGCAATGTGGTCAGTTGACCAGAATTCACGAGATACACACTGCATTTATACCCCTACAGTATCCCTTACTCTTCCGTTATGGAGAGGACGGATACCAAGAGGGCATCCCGATTAGAGAATCTATCATGCTTAGCCAAAAACGAAAACGAATTCGGGTTTCACTAAGAGAGTAGTTCATTGCTTTCAGAATTCAAGAGAAGAGCTTGGAGTATGGGAACATTGTGAACGCTGGCAGACTATTTCAGCAATTTTTCGTAGACTATTACACAATGATAGAGTACCAACGGTTGTCATACATACGTTTAAACCAAAAGGTCATCAGGTGTGACGTTTTGAATGGTTTACAAGAAGTTGTACATAGAGGTGAAAATGAAGCATCTTCATTGGGAAAACGTATCATATTACCAGCTTCATTTACGGGTGGTAATAGGTATATGTTTCAGAACTATCAGGATGCAATGGCAATATGCAAACGGTTTGGCTATCCCGATCTCTTTATCACCATTACATGCAGCTATAATTGGACAGAAATAAAAGATTTTGTATATGAAAGGGGACTTGCTGCCAGAGACAGGCTTGACATTGCTGCCAGAGTTTTTAAAATTAAGCTAAATCAGATGATGACAGATTTTAAAAAGGGCGAAATATTTGGAAAAGTAGCGGCAGGTACGTTATTCCAATATTCCACTAATTTAAATAACTTCATTGTACGGAATTAATGTATCTTGCATGTAAATGTTTGATTCTATTATTGTTAGGTTTATTATTGTTCAATTATTATGTACGTAGGGAATACTCTTAACATGGGAGTTACCAACTATTGTATAAATATGGGACTCCTCCCACATAATAAAGCAAGGCTAATTCCTCAACCCCTTTACTCACTTTAGCATGGTATCAGAGACTTCCGTATAATACTATACAAAGTATCAATTTTTTTTTCTCTTCTTTTCTTTTCCCAGCCTATATTTATCATCCCCCAGAGACTTATCCCATGACTACACCAACGGATGAAGTCTCCACAACCACACACACCTCGATTATGGATTTTCGCCGGAAAATTAATGACCCATCTTCTCCATATTACCTTCACAATTCCGATTTTCCGGGTCTTAATATTTGTGGTGTCGCTCTTCGCGGAGAATCCAACTATCGTGAATGGGCAACCGCTATGAAAAATGCCTTCCGTGCAAAACGAAAGCTTGGTTTTTTGGATGGTTCCATCTCTCAACCCACGCCACACGCCCACGACCTTGAAGATTGGTTCACCGTTCATTCCATGTTGGTAGGGTGGCTCATGTCATCCATCGACCCGCCCTTGCGTTCCAATGTCGCCTTTATGGATAACGCCCGCGACCTTTGGGATGATTTAAAAATCCGTTTTGATGTCGCCGACGCTATGCGCATGCATGAGCTAAAAGAGGCTATACGCACATGTCGGCAAGCCGGCCAATCTGTGACGATCTATTTTGGTCGCCTTAAAACTCTATGGGATGACTACGCTGCTTACCGAATATTGCCCCAATGCAAATGTGGTAAGTGTTCTTGCAATCTTGACAAAGAATTCCTTGAAAGTGTGGAGCTTGAAAAATCACATGAGTTTCTCATGGGTCTTGATGGAGAAATTTATGGTGTCCTACGTTCTAATATTCTGAGCATGACGACCCTTCCTGCACTCAACAAAATTTATCAAATGGTGGTTCAAGAAGAACGCCACCGGAATGTGACCCGTACTCAGGACACCCGCATGGACGCGGTGGCTTTTGCTATGCGCCCCAGCTCTTCTATTAGTGTCATAAAGGATGGTGACAAAGAAAAGGTATTTTGCCATTTTTGTAAGAAAAATGGTCATGATATCAAACATTGCTTCAAAATATCTGGGAATTACCCCGATTGGTGGTATGGTAACAAAGGTGGATGTGGTCGAGGAAACACTCCAGGACAGGGTCGTGGTAGAGGAGGACCACCTTCCTTGGGTGTTCATGCGGTCAAAGTTGAAGACATCCCTGGAGTTTCAACTCCAAACATCAACCGTGCATCTATGCCCATGCTCTCTGACACTCAGTGGAACAATTTTTTAAGCATGCTAAATGATAGTAAAAGGTCTTGTAAAACTGAAAAACTCACAGGTACACCTTCTCCCGTTGAGTGGTTACTCGACACAGGAGCTTCTTTCCATATGACGGGTTCAACTATTTTTTTGACTGATTTAAAATCCATACCGCCTATTCCGGTTACCTTACCTAATGGAGAGGTTAATATGGCCACACATGTGGGTTGTCTCCAATTGGGACCAAGTTTAACTCTTCCGCATGTACTGCATGTCCCTGGCCTCACATGTCATTTATTGTCTGTGGGGAGACTTATTGATGATTTAAAATGTCATATTACATTTACTAATAAGTTTTGTGTGATACAGGACCTCAATTTGAGGACGCTGATTGGAGTGGGTGAACGGCGTGGTGGTGTCTACTACTTTGTTGGTGCAAATTTAATTCGGGCTCTCAGTGCAACAACTTTGGATCTGTATCATCTGTGGCACCAACGACTGGGTCATGCTTCTTCTAAAGTTATTCGTCTGTTACCTGTTTTTCATTCTGAAAAAGGCAATACTGCCATTGAAAATAAAATTTGTGATGCTTGTATGCGTGCCAAACAAGCTCGCACTGTTTTCCCTTTCAGTACTAATCGGGCATCGGAACCATTTGAATTATTACACTGTGATGTTTGGGGACCGTACCGTGTGCCTTCCTCGTGTGGCTCTCATTATTTTCTCACAATTGTTGATGATTTCTCACGGGCCGTTTGGGTACATTTATTGGCTGCAAAAAGTGAGGTCCCGCTAATATTTAGAAATTTTTTTACCATGGTTCGCACCCAATTTCAAAAAATTATCAAAATTATTCGGAGCGACAATGGTACAGAATTCAGTCCCCTAAGACCATTTTTTTCAGAAAATGGCGTAATATTTCAAACATCTTGTGTGGATACACCGCAACAAAATGGACGGGCAGAACGCAAACATCGTCACATTTTAGATATTGCTCGTGCTTTGCGGTTCCAAGCTCATCTACCGCTACAGTTTTGGGGAGAATGTATTCTTACAGCCGGATATCTTATTAATCGGACGCCGTCTATCTTGAACAATGGAAAATCACCATTTGAACTTTTATATGGGCAGCGTCCTTCATATGATCATCTTCGTATTTTTGGTTGCCTATGCTACGTCCATCAAAAGAATCGTGACAAAGATAAATTTGCTCCTCGTAGTCAACGATGTGTTTTTCTGGGTTATTCTTATACTACTAAAGGTTGGAAAATATTCAATCTTGAAACACAACGTCATTTTATCTCTCGTGATGTTCGGTTTGATGAATTCGTTTTCCCATATGCGGAATCTATCTCAAAGGTGCCTACTGACCCAGAGCCCATTCTGAATGTACAGCCTTTTTTGTTCAGCAATGGGACAGATTTTGATGAGGATAATATTGCTCACCACCCGCATATCCCATGTGCGGCCACTGATAATTCACATGGGGGGGACAGAAATTTCCCACCCACTTCCAATTTTGGCTTCTCCTGCAAATAATATGCATGCATCTCCTCCAGGCCACATGCATGATCTATCCTCCTCACCTAATGACTCATCTCCACTCAATCAAATGGCTCCCACGTATGCTGCCAAAAATTGTCATGACTCTCCAGAATCATCTCATTGTTCACAAAATCATTCCCTTGATCCATCCACTGCGGAGCCCACATTTACCCCCACTACTCTGACATCAAATCACACGCCTACTAGTGATAACAATACAGTGGTCGAGTCTGCTCTTGGACGTGGACTACGTCGACGTGTTCCGCCAATTCGACTACAAGATTATTTTTGTACCAACACAGCTCAAGTAAATCACCACGCCACCACCTCTCCTTCGGCTACCTCAGGTATCCTTTATCCCTTAACTTATTATGTAAATAATGACAAATTCTCACTGCCCCACCGAGCATTTCTTGCAGCTATCTCATCTGAAGCGGAACCATCTACCTATCGTGAGGCTATTAAAGATGAGAGGTGGAAAGTGGCCATGCAAAAAGAAATTGACGCCTTAGAACGTACAGGAACTTGGACTTTAACAATATTACCTCCCAGTAAAATTGCTATCCGCTCTAAATGGGTTTATAAAATCAAATATCATAGTAATGGGACTGTGGAACGTTATAAAGCTCGTCTTGTAATATGTGGGAATCATCAGGTAGAGGGCATTGATTATCACGAGACTTTTGCTCCAGTTGCTAAAATGGTAACTGTTCGTACTATTTTAGCAGTCGCCGCTTCCCGTGGTTGGGAATTACACCAAATGGATGTGGATAATGCCTTTTTACATGGAGATCTTACGGAGGAGGTGTACATGCACCTCCCTCCGGGTTTTAAGGCTTCTCAACCAGGACTGGTTTGCCGTTTAAACCGGTCTCTATACGGTCTGCGCCAGGCCCCACGATGTTGGTTCCACAAATTAACCATGGCACTTAAGTCATTCGGATTCTCCCAATCGTATGCTGATTATTCTCTTTTTACCTTACACAATGGGAATGATTCTCTTTGTGTTCTTGTTTACGTCGACGATCTATTAATCACCGGTTCCAATCCAACTGCAATTACACGGCTCAAAAAGTTCCTTGGACAATGCTTTCCTATTAAAGATCTTGGTCATCTTAAATATTTTCTTGGGATAGAGGTGGCACGAAATTCATCAGGGATTTTTATTTCCCAACGAAAATATGTTTTGGATCTTTTGAGTGAAACCGGTTTGACGGGTGCCAAACCCGCCACATTTCCGATGGAGCAAAACCAACGTCTAGCTTTAGACACCGGCCCTTTATTTGATGAGCCCGATCGATATCGCCGTCTAATCGGTAAACTCATTTATCTAAATTTGACCCGTCCGGATATTAGCTACGCTGTTCACATTTTGGCTCAATTTATGCAACAACCCCGAGTAGCTCACTGGGATGCCACTCTTCGAGTACTTCGCTATCTCAAGAATACACCTGGTCAAGGTATATTATTATCTACTAGTGAGGACCTCACACTCTCCGGATACTGTGATTCGGACTGGGCTGGTTGCCCGATTACACGGCGTTCGCTTACAGGTTTTTTTGTTCGGCTTGGGCAGTCCCCCATTGCATGGAAAACGAAAAAACAACACACCATATCTCGTTCTTCCGCTGAGGCTGAATATCGATCAATGGCATCCGTAACTTGTGAACTGATATGGCTCAAAAGTCTTCTATGCTCTCTTGGAGTTGCACATTCTCAATCAATTCCACTCTATTGCGACAATCGGGCTGCTCTTCACATTGCTTCAAATCCAGTTTTTCATGAACGTACGAAACATATTGAAATTGATTGTCACTTTATCCGCGATCATGTTCAGGCAGGACTGATTTCTCCACAACATACTCCTACTACCAAACAAGTTGCAGACATTTTTACTAAAGCGCTTGGATCTCAGCAATTTACATATTTATTATCCAAGTTGGGCGTTCTCAATCCTCACGCTCCAACTTGAGGGGGGATGTACGGAATTAATGTATCTTGCATGTAAATGTTTGATTCTATTATTGTTAGGTTTATTATTGTTCAATTATTATGTACGTAGGGAATACTCTTAACATGGGAGTTACCAACTATTGTATAAATATGGGACTCCTCCCACATAATAAAGCAAGGCTAATTCCTCAACCCCTTTACTCACTTTAGCATTCATTAACATTTGACATTTGACATCTACATGTGAAAAAATCTGACAAATTTCTACATTAACTTTCCAGGAACATATACTATTGAGTTTCAAAAAAGGGGACTCCCTCATGCCCATATTTTGCTTTGGTTGTGCCCTTCAAACAAGCTCAAAACGGGGACGTATATCGACAAGCTTATATCAGCAGAGTTACCTGACGATAAAATGTACCCTAGGTTGGCAAGGGCGGTGTCTACTTTCATGATTCACGGTCCGTGTGGGGTGGCTAATAGTGAAAATCCATGCATGCAAAAAGGTCGATGTTCAAAGTTTTTTCCCAAAAAATTCCAGGATACAACTACCATAGATGAGGAAGGCTGTCCAAAATACAAACGCAGGAACTGTTGGTTTCAAAATAGGGAGTTGATTTGGATAACAGGTATGTCATACCATACAACCCAGTTCTTTTAATGAGATACCAGGCACATGTTAACGTGGAATACTGTAACAAGTCCAACTCCATAAAATATTTATTCAAGTACGTTAATAAGGGCCCAGATCGAGCCACTGTCCAGATTACAAATGTTTCAGAGAAGGAAGAACCAATTGATGAGATAAAAAATTACTATGATTGTAGATATGTTGGTGCATGTGAAGCTGCATGGAGAATATATGAGAATGACATACACCACAGGTGGCCACCGGTTCAAAGACTGACATTTCATCTACCGAATGAGTAGTCCATTATATTCAGTGACGATGAACCCATTGAGTCAGTTGTTAGGAACAATGAGAACCTGCAAACAATGTTCCTGGCGTGGTTTGAAGCAAATAAGGAGTACGACGACGAAAAAGACGTGACATACGCTGAATTTCCCACTGGGTTTGTTTACTTGAAAGAGGAGCAAAAATGGAAGCCAAGAAAGCAAGGAACGTCTATTGGAAGACTGAACTTTATCCCACCTGGCAGTGGTGAGCTCTACTACATGAGGATTTTGTTAACAACGTAAAGAGGGTGCACCGACTACAGTAGTTTTAGAACTGTGAATGGAGTTACCTATGCCACTTTTTGTGAAGCATGTCGTTCCCTGGGAATGCTAGATGACGATAAAGAGTTCATTGCAGGAATCATTGAGACAAGCATGCTAGGTTCTGGTCATCAGCTAAGGAGATTATTTATTTCTTCATTGGTCATGCACACGATGGGCTAACCGCATCTGGTATGGAACTCTACATGGAGGTTGTTATCAGATGGTATTATATATGAGCGCAGGAGAAGCTTGAATATGCCAGGAAACTATCCACTAAATACAAAATCTGTTTTTAAGTTTTTATCAGGTCCTTGATTTAATATGGGCACTTTTTTCCAGCGTTGCAGATACAAGATGATGAGTTGAAGAACCTCTGCTTAATCGAATTGGAAAAACTATTATCAGCCAACGGAATATCACTAACTAACTTTGATGGTATGCCATGCCCGGATGAATCAGACATGACCGACTTCCAGAATAAATTCTTGGTTGATGAAATGAGCTATGACCGAGAACAACAGGTTTCACTTCATTCATCCCTACTAGAGAAGTTAACGGCAGAGCAGAGGCACACATACGATCATATAATTACTGTTGTTTACTCAAATTTGGGTGGGTTTTTTGTCCTTTATGGGTACGGAGGTACTGGCAAGACATTTGTTTGGAATACTTTATCGGCCGCGCTCAGATTAAAAGGATCAGTTGTCTTGAACGTTGCTTCTAGTAGAATCGCTTCACTACTTCTACCGGGAGGTAAGACTGCACATTCCACCTTTTGCATTCCATTTGTAACGAACGAGGAATCAACTTCCAATATTCGCCAAGGTAGTCTTAAAGCAAAGTTGCTCCTGCATGCGAAATTGATCATTTGGGATGAGGCGCCAATGCTAAGTAGGCATTGCTTTGAAGCAGTTGATCGTACTTTAAGAGATATTATGCGGGTGCAGTGTGAAGAAAACTCGGAAAGACCATTCGGGGGGAAGGTTGTTGTATTGGGTGGAGATTTTTGTCAAATATTACCGGTCATAAGAAAAGGAACTAGGCATGACATTGTTTCAGCCGCTGTAAATTCATCTCACATTTGGGAAAGTTGTGTTGTTTTGAGGTTATCCACAAATATGAGACTAAATGTTGGAGTGACAAGTGAAGACCATGCAGCTACCAAAGAATTTGCAGATTGGACTCTCCAACTTGGAGAGGGTTCAAATGAGTCTCACGAAAACGGTGCGAGTGAAGTTCAAATCCCAAGTGACTTATTGATTAATGGTTGTAAAAACCCACTGCACTCATTAGTTGATTTTACATACCCAGAACTACTACAGAATCACGCAAGTCCCACATTTTATGGGAGCTATTTTTGGCACTGTTCCTGTGCCTCAAATGGGGTAAGAGCAGTCACTTTTTAGAAATTTGAATTTTTCGAGGATTGCATTATAGGCATGGATTCATTGTTGTTTATTGAACTTTAATTGCTAATTTTTCTTGGTGAGGCCGAGATTAGAATGGGGTAATGTCTAGTACAAAGTCTGAAAAAATTAATTAATATAGCTAGACCTCTTACCTTGCGAAAAAGGGAATGTGAGACCATGTCGAAAATCGTAAGTGTTTTGTACAATAAGATGAGATTGGGGATCTTTCGAAAGAAATGATGTTCTCGTGCCAACATGACAAGGAAAACTGAACTTAATTAATTGAACTTGGAGGCTATTTCAAAATTAGCATTAGTCCTCATGTACTTCAAGTATACGTCAAAGCACTGATGTGCAACGACGGTTTAGCATAGTTGTACACCATGTCTACTCTTTGCATATGTTTAAATGATAGTTCCTAATTTGTAGTCTACTGAATTCTCTGATCATAAGAATAGCCCTGAAATTCGTGAATGCATTAAGTCCTTGTCACGTTGTTCCAAAAATCTCAAAGAAAGGGACTATTTATCCCTTACCATTCACCATTCACCACCATCTTCACAAGTCCTTCTGATCGGTAGTACTTCTACCGAGAGGTAAGACTGCACATTCCACCTTTTGCATTCCATTTGTAACGAATGAGGAATCAACTTGCAATATTCGCCAAGGTAGTCTTAAAGCAAAGTTGCTCCTGCATGCGAAATTGATCATTTGGGATGAGGCGCCAATGCTAAATAGACATTGCTTTGAAGCAGTTGATCGTACTTTAAGAGATATTATGCGGGTGCAGTGTGAAGAAAACTCGGAAAGACCATTCGGGGGGAAGGTTGTTGTATTGGGTGGAGATTTTTGTCAAATATTACCGGTCATAAGAAAAGGAACTAGGAATGACATTGTTTCAGCCGCTGTAAATTCATCTCACATTTGGAAAAGTTGTGTTGTTTTGAGGTTATCCACAAATATGAGACTAAATGTTGGAGTGACAAGTGAAGACCATGCATCTACCAAAGAATTTGCAGATTGGACTCTCCAACTTGGAGAGGGTTCAAATAAGTCTCACGAAAACGGTGCGAGTGAAGTTTAAATCCCAAGTGACTTATTGATTAATGGTTGTAAAAACCCACTGCAGTCATTAGTTGATTTTACATACCCAGAACTACTACAGAATCACGCAAGTCCCACATTTTATGGGAGCCATTTTTGACACTGTTCTTGTGCCTCAAATGGGGTAAGAGCAGTCACTTTTTAGAAATTTGAATTTTTCGAGGATTGCATTATAGGCATGGATTCATTGTTGTTTATTGAACTTTAATTGCTAATTTTTCTTGGTGAGGCCGAGATTAGAATGGGGTAATGCCTAGTACAAAGTCTGAAAAAATTAGTTAATATAGCTAGACCTCTTACCTTGCGAAAAAGGGAATGTGAGACCATGTCGAAAATCGTAAGTGTTTTGCACAATAAGATGAGATTGGGGATCTTTCGAAAGAAATGACGTTCTCGTGCCAACATGACAAGGAAAACTGAACTTAATTAATTGAACTTGGAGGCTATTTCAAAATTAGCATTAGTCCTCATGTACTTCAAGTATACGTCAAAGCACTAATGTGCAACGACTGTTTAGCATAGTTGTACACCATGTCTACTCTTTGCATAGGTTTAAATGATAGTTCCTAATTTGTAGTCTACTGAATTCTCTGATCATAAGAATAGCCCTGAAATTCGTGAATGCATTAAGTCCTTGTCAGGTTGTTCCAAAAATCTCAAAGAAAGGGATTATTTATCCCTTACCGTTCACCATTCACCACCATCTTCACAAGTCCTTCTGATCGGTAGCTAGCTTATTAGTGTATAGTGTCATAAAGTTGAGGATGTTGTGATTAATTTTATCATAAATTTTAGCCAAAGTACAAAAATGTAGTTTAGGGAAGAGTTTTCTGTGATTATCCATTTAACTACCTGTATATGCTAATTGTTTTGATTCTGTATGGTCATTATCGTAAGTCTCGTTGTTCAGTTTGTTTGAGGATAAACAAAAGCTTAAGTGTGGGGGAATCTGATAAGTCCGTATTTAGACACACATTTGATGCATGTTTAGATCTACTTTTGATGGTTTCCTTAATTATTTTGTGTCACAAGACTCATTTTTAGCTGAAGTCATAGTTACCTGGTGTTGGTCCGAGTTTTTGTATTGTTTGGAGTCAAAATAAGGAATTAGAGTCCGGCACCGGCACTTGAGAAGCAATCCGGATGAGTTGAGGATGCATTCGAGAGAGAATTGAGAGCTTTGTAGGTCATCGGGAGGTTCACGATGAAGATTCGATGATCAAAGAGCTTTAGGATTGGCTACGAGATCAAATGAAGAGAAACGGAGCTTGAAAACGGCGTTCAGGATGACCTTCTATCAATCGTTCAAGCATATCTGTTTGTAGAAACATCCAAAGGGAATGATTCAAGTTCCATTTGAAATCCAACTTCAAGGGCTACAACATCATATGAAGACATCATTGAGAGAATCTCAGAGGAGAAAGGTGAAAACAGATGAAGAAGTCAAATGAACGCTGTTGAGATTTCAGAATGCAACCTTCCGCCATTTTATTCATATCTTTTTATTGGATGATTCAAATCCATTTTTGCAAGTTGTTTTGGATAGAGGACTTCATTACCTACAATATTCATGAAGGAAGCATCGACAAATTCGGAGAGGAAACAACGCTGGAGATACTGCCGATCAGGCACGTCGTGGCTACCCGAGAGGCACGTCGTGCCTGACCCTGGGACGTGTTTTTTACTCCGCAGTCACGGTTGTGCCTGGCGCCGTGCCTGACCCCGAATCGCCTAATTCAGCTCAAATTTCATCTGTTTTTTCCTATTTAAACAACCTGTAAACCCCTGTTTTGAGGAGGAGCTTAGAGAGAAGCCTATGGATGAAATTTCTTCTACTTTTCCATCTTGTTCATCAGTTTCCTTGGATTATTTGTAAGTTCCTACGTTTTAATTAATGACAATTAATTCTGTTCATCCCAATTCTATTGATTCTTCAATTATGAGTTGTGAGTAGTTTTAATTAGAGATTTGAGATTGATGAAGGGGTTGATTATGATGTATGGCTAAATTCATGATGGATTAATTGCATGATTGATATTTGATTTGTGTTTGAAAGATTGAATTGATATCTCTTGTAACCTAGAACGGCCGCTAGAATTACAATTGCTTGTAGAATAAATTAATAGAGATCTAATTTATTATAGGACGTACACCTTCACACACACTTAATCATTTGCTAAGAGATTAATAATTATTAAGGGGCATATACTCGCTCGTTTTGGAAATAATTTTAGGATCCCCTGTCGCATGAGAGATTACCATGATCCCCTGAATTATTGTACTCTACGCCGTGAGAGCTGTAAGAACTTAGTAATGATTAGTGAGATTCAATTAAATTAATTTCATGTGATTAAGCTGATCAGCCAGAAATGTGATTACCACGTAATCAATCCCTATTTCCTATCGTCATTAATTAGAGAGTCTCCCTTAATTTTATCTGCTTTTTCGTATTAGTTTAATTTTTCAATCCAACCAATTTCGCACAATTGCATTTTTATGTTTCTTAGTTAGTATTTAACACTGAATTTAATTAATACTTAATTCCCTTTTGTCCGTCCCTGTGGAAACGATACTCGTACTTACACGCTATACTGCTACATATTTTAAGTGCGAGAAAATTAACATCACGCGACCACTGTCGGCCACTTACAATTATTATTGACCTAATTCTCCGTTGCAACCAATGACAACTATCTCCGGTAATGACACATGTCCTTGCGGTCCACATCTCACACCCCTGCCCCCAGTAGCCAACCTTAGCCCATTCTAGTCCCCACCCTAGCTAGCTACCCTAGCCCCACACCGCCACTACCCCCACCCCTTGCAATAGCCCTACCATGATCCGTTAGGCTAACCGCAGCCCAGCCCGTCAATAAATCTAATCTAACACCAATTTATACGTATTCATTCAATGAATTCAGTTTTTCCCTGGAACCCAGCACTGTCATTATATTCACTCAACACATTCTTTGTTAGTTAAATCCTTGTTTTTTATTATTACACATATTTTTTTTCTCAAATTATATTTTTGCAAATAATTATGTTTTAAAATATCAAACATTCCGATGTAAAAATAAATAAATTTGGAGTAAAATTTTTAACCATGAGATCTATTTTTGAAAAATAATAGTTGAGAGATGTAAAAAAATATTTTAACAATGAAATCTTAAAACAATTTAGGCGTGAAAATCTCTCCATCAGATAAAACTTCATATTTTTTAAGAAACTGTATATATGACATATTGATGTCATATGAAAGATCGTAAGAAGTTATGAATTTTGATATAGGGAAAAAGTACACGCTGCATACCTGTGGTTGTGGCCGTTTGCAATCAGGGGTCTGTGATGAACTTTGCAACAAACCCAAGCTTGTGCTTTCCCACCGTTACCACCCGGTGGCATTTTTTTCCCAACTACGTGGCATTTTTTTTCTAAGTGACTGGGCCGTTAGTAATACACTACGTGGCATTTTTTTTTTCCAACTAAGCTCCAATTAAGATGTATTATTTTAATTACTTAAAAATGAAAAGGTTAAGTGAAATTAGGGCTGAAGAAAACCCAATTACAATTAGGTGAAATTAGGGCTGAAGAAAACCCAATTCTTCCTCCCATTCGATTCTACACCTCCGGTTGGGAAAGAACAAAGATTGTTGGTCGAAGCAGACAAAGGACAATAACGCAAGCACTGGCAGATGGAATTGTAGTTTTTTGTCCTTAGAGTCTTCACGTGAAAGTAAGTACTCCAATAATTGTTTCTTTGGTTTACATATTTTGGTTAGGGTGTGACGCTTGTTGGAAAACCTGGTTGGTAGGTAAAGTTGACATTGACTATGTGAGCAAGTTCGAATTGGAGGGATATGCAGCAGATTTGGGTTATACAAATGGGGTAAAAATGTGGTTTAGAAGATTCTCAATTAGGGAGTTGTGTGGACCAGTCACCTTGCAAGAGATAGTGTGTGATAAAGATGTTCAAGACATGTTGGTGTGTAACATAATGGACCCACACATTGACTTGTACTTTGTTGCAAACACAAGTAAAAAACGGGTGGTTGGTACTTTAGCAAAAGAAACAACCCAATCTTCACAGGAAGCCCACACTTCAGTCCCAACTCAAATACAAAATAAAGATCAAGCTCGACAAGCAGACCAATCTGTGGGTGAATCCACTACATTTGTTGAAACTGAATTACAGAGTGATGAGGATGATGAAGACTATGTGAATCAAAGTGGATCTGAAAGTGCTTCACATGACCATTCCAATTCCAATATCAGTGAAGCTTCCTGGCTATATGATGACCTACAAGGGAGTGAAGCTTCCTGGCTATATGATGACCTAGAAGGGAGTGAAGATGATGTATTTAATCATGGAGCTGCAAGTTTAAGCCAAAAACCACCCCCAGGTCCAGACCAACCTTCAGAACCAAACCCCTTTTTTTCCAGAAGATCTGAATGAAGAGCAGCTTAAGGAGTTTAATGAAAGTCCATGCTATAGTGATGACTTGCATAGCATTGTAGGATCTGAAGATGGTGATGAAAAGTATGAAGAGTTCAATGAAGAAACAGGAGCTACAAATCCAGAATTATCCAAAGGTTTGAAATTTACCTCACATACCTCTTTTAGAAATGCTCTTAAGGAATGGGCAGTCAAGGGTGGATTTGAATTCAAATTTGTGAAGAACAATAGATCTAAAATCACAGTGGTTTGCAAAAACAAGGACATTTGTTCATTCAGGGTTCATGCATCAAAAGTTCCAGAATGTGGGTCCTTCCAAATAAAAACATTCAGGCCCAAACATGAATGCCCTTTTAGTAACAGAAACAGCTTGGTGACTAGTAGCTATTTGGCAAAAAAGTACATGGATGAGTTGAGGGAAAATCCTGAGTGGGATGTCACTGCTATGCAAAAGTCAGTTCAAAGACAGTTAAGGGCAGAGGTGAGTCTTGCAAAGTGTTATAGAGCTAGAAGAAAAGCAAAGGCAAAGATCCAAGGAGATATCAAAGAACAATATAGGAGGTTGAGGGATTATGCAGAAACTGTTGTTAAATACAACCCTGGGAGTCTTGTAATAATCAAAACTGAAGCTAGGGATGTCAATGAAGAAGGTGGTGCTGCAGAGGGTGTACCAAGAATACCCAAGGAAATTCTAATGCTTCAATACATGTACATGTAAGTCCTTTTTATGCTAAATCCACCTACTTAGCTGTGTATAAACACATTATCCATCCTCTGCCAAGTAAAGATGAGTGGGAGAGGATAGAGAGTTCAGATATTGTGCCCCCAATCCCTAGAAAACCTGCAGGAAGACCAAAAAAGAAGAGGATTAAACAACCTGATGAAACAAGGAATCCTTTCAAGGTGTCTAGGGCAGGTAAGCAGGTGGTTTGTGGCAATTGTAAGCAAGTGGGACACAATGTTAGAGGGTGTAAGACATCCATAACTGGAGAAACACCATGGCAAAGGAGAAAGAGATTAGGAAAGAAAAAAAATGTCCAAACAGAAGCAGAGGGTGTTGATGATATTTCTGAACCAACCTCCCATGAGCCACTTCAGACAACCAATAATGACAGTGAATTAACAACTCCCATGACCCATGATTCGGTTTCCCAAAGCACTGGAGGAAGAACAAAGAAGAAAAGGAGAATCAGCACTTCACAACCACCCCAACCATCTTCCAAAAGAGTGACTAGGTCCTCAAGTACACAGCCCTCAATGGTAATTGTATGGTCTGCATTGTTACTCTTGTAATGTGTTGTTTTTACACTTATTATGATGTTATTACTTTTTTCAGGGCACACAGAGTTGAGGATTAACTGACAAGAGACCAGAAATGTTGCAGTTTTGTTGTGGGGAGAAGAAGAATGGTGCTTTAGTAGACATGTTTAGATATCAGTATATGAACTTTTAAATCATGCCTTAGTAAGCATGTGTTTTGTAATGATACTTATGTAAGGAACATATTTTGTGGTTAGCATATGTTCTGAAGTTGTTGTAGGTCAGTGTTTTGGTATATGTTCAGTTTAGTATTTGTTGGATGAATTTCGTATGTGTTGAATGGAAAGTATCTGTTTACTTTGGTAATCTGTTTACTCAAACCATATGTTCTGTTTTAGGTAAAGCCAGAATCAATCTTTTGGGTTAAAAATTTCAGACCCAAAAGAAGTTGTTCTGTAACACCACAATGACATTAAAGAAGTTCACAGCACTCCCAGTATATCTACTATAACATTAACCAAAAGAAGATGTGGAGAAATAAACTGCTATAACATTAAACAAGTTCACACAAATTGTTACAGCCAAAATCTTCATACAATCTGACATCAACCCTTACAAGGTTCTTACATTGGTGCATTACATTGGACATCACTCACAACAAAACGTCTCACATGAAATTAAACTAAAGGAATCTCCAAACACAATTACACGTGGTTTGGTCATTTCATCGAAAACTTAGCAAAGAACTTAGACCTAAAATCTTCTACTTGCAAAGAACATGAAAATTAACATGGCCAGACAGAGCAGCTTCCACTTAAAAGTGACATTATGATTCTTAGACATCCGCAGTTGCAGTTCCATGTTCTGAACCTTCGACACACCAATTTCACGCACACAGTTCTTTATTTGACCCTCCATCTCCAACTCTTTCATCTGGACATATTCTTCAAGTCTTCTGACCTTCTCAATAACAACATCTAAGTTATGCAGACAAGTACAACACGTATCTTCTTCAACCCACTCAAAAAAATTGCATTGTTGTTTGCCCCCTCGAGAATAACGGCCGCAAGCATGAAACTTTTCCCCCCGGTTCTTCTCTGTTGTCGCCGTCCAAATAGGAGCTTGGAATCCACAGCCGCACTTCTTGATTTGTTGTCTTCCATCCATCGCACAGGAGCTCGAATTAGAAGAACTCATCTCTTCAAATTTGTATTTGTGTTTGTGGAAGAGGGGAATGGATTTCGTATGCGTATATGGTCCAAATAGGTTAACACGGTATGGACTAGGGATAAAAAGCCATGTAATCACACATGGTGTTAATAGATTGGGATTAAAAGCCACGTAAGCAAAAAAAAAGTGCCACGTAGCGTATTACTAACGGCCCAGTCGCTTAGACCCCGCGGGTGGTAACGGTAGGAAAGCACAAGCTTGGGTTTGTTGCAAAGTTCATCACAGACCCCTCATTGCAAACGGCCACCCCACGGACCCCTTTGATATATTATCTAAAAAAGCTGGATTTTAAATAAAACAAGTTACACCATTTTTAGCAAAATTGGGATTTTAATTTAATGTGGACCCCTCACATTTTCCAAACTTGAGGCTATCACCTCCCTCTCTCTCTTAGGGTTACGTTATAGGGCATGGTGGTATCCAATGTCCCAATTCTCCTCTCCAAGGTTCTCCCAATCCACAATAGCTCCTCCCTCTCTTTTTTTTAGAAATTGCCCTAAATAGGAGCAAAAATGTTTTGAAATTCCAAAATAGGAGTATCATATTTTTTATTCCCTGAACAGGAGTAATCTGCCAAGTTTGGAAGAAAATGCCATGTTTAAAGCCTAGCAATGCAATGTTTGGCAGAAATTTACTCCTATTTAGGGAATAAAAAACATGATACTCTTATTTTGTAATTTAAAAACCTTTTTACTCTTATTTAGGGAATTCTCTCTTTTTTTTGTTTGGATTGCACCATTCTTGGCAGCCTTACAAATTCCCTCGCAATTGCATACCACCATGCCCTATAACCCTATATAGCGGCCCACTCGCAACCCTAGTAATCGCCGCCCCACCAAAATCCCCTAACCGTCACCCACCCACCCCATCAATTGCGGTTTGTGATTGTTCGTCTCAAGCTCAGATTTGACCGCCATTCACTATCGCTAGAGCCTAGAAGCCTGAATCCTCGCTTGCCATTGCTGGAGGTCCGTCTCCTATTGCAATCGCCGCCACCGCTATGGTCAAATTTGAAGATAATCATGGATTTACACCTAGTTCTAACCGTCTATAAAATGAGAACAAGAACAGAGACAAGCGGTGCACCCGTAGAGATGGTGGGGGGGTGAGACGACGTGATAAGTGAAGGAGATGGGAGGCCAGGCTGACTAGGAAAAAGATGAAAAGCAGATGAAAAGCAAACACATTTTGACAAATCCTGATGAGAAACACGGAACAAAAACAAAAGTAATTATACATGAAAGAAAGGATCTCGATTAAAAAAAATAGGAAAGAGGGGCAAAATTATCTTTTCAGACCCGCTAAATTCTGCAGCATTTGTGTCCGCGGGTCACCCGCGCAGGGGGGTGCGAATTTTCGATTTGAACTGAAAACCGAAATCCCATATCCGTGAGAGCTCCCCTCTTCTCCTTCACCTTTTAATACTAAGGAAAGAGTGGTCCATATATATAGGCTCAAAAGTTTCCAAAGAATTTAGGTGTGGGATTGTTAAAAAGATTCATTTTCTCTTTCACATGAAGTATCATAATTTGGTTGGGGCTAAGGAAAGATTATTTTTCTCCTTCAAATAACATATAGATAACATCCTAATTTGAAAAAAAAATAATGCACTACTCCATATATAGTAGAGAAATATGTATAACTACTAAGTATATATGTTATTTGATACTTCAAAAAATATAAAAAATAGATAAAAAATGAAATTGAGAACATGATTAAATTGTTAGTTTTTAACTTTATGTGTTTTTATTAATCATCTTAGTTTTATAAATCAATTTTCATTGAAAGTTGGAGGTTTTCAGGTATTTCTAATTTCCATGGGTTGAATGAAATCTCGGAACAAAAAAATCCAACTTAGTCTTGCTTTAGAAAACTAGATTTTAATTTACTATGGGAAATTTCCAAAATATAAGTAAAAATGTTCGGTAATTTAAAATCTCGAAACAAAAAAATTCAACTTAAATTTTTTTTTAGTTAATTTTTTTTTAACTCAAGGTTGACTCTTGGAAGCTTTGATTGTATGGTTGACCTTTGGTGTTGGAATTTTGGACCTTAAAGCGGCTCAAAACTAGGTCTTGGGAAAAATGGATGAAAATGTGTGCTTTTCATGTGAAAGGGAAAAGGAATCTTTTTAACAATCACACACCTAAACTCCTTGGAAACTTTTGAGCCTATATATATGGACCACTCTTTCCTTAGTAGTAAAAGGTGAAGGTGAAGAGGGGAGCTCTCGCGCACATGGGATTTCGGCTTTCAGTTCAAAATCGAAAATTCGCACACCCTGCACGGGCGACCTGCAGACACGAATGCTGCAGAATTTAGCGGGTCTCAAAAGACAATTTTGCCCCTCTTTCGGTTAACATATGATATCTTTTTTGTCTGAGCTAAGCTAAAATTTGGTTCAATTTTTGTTCATCTAAGAGTCTATGGTATTGTAGAAATAACTTGAGAAAGTAAAATGTATTTTATTTCTCTTATTCTGTGTAATACAATGAGATGAATACAGAATATGTATAGCTAGAGAAAAGTGGAATAAGGAAGGAATCCTCCTAATTAAGATTCCTTAATAAAGACAAGATAATTGGGGATATTTAGAGATTCTGATATCTCTAAGATATCTCCTCATAACTGCTAAATCGGATGAGTAATTATCTGTAATAATCTACACTCCCCCTCAAGCTGGGTGATGGATATCATCCATGCACAGCTTGCTAGATAAGTCTTCAAATTGAATTCTGAGAAGTGCCTTGGTGAGTATATCCGCTATTTGTTGTCTGGTTGGAACATAGTTCAGCTGGATGTCCTTTGCTGCAATCTTTTCTGATAAGAACCTTCTGTCTATATCAATGTGTTTGGTCCTGTCATGATAAACAGGATTCTTAGCAATACTGATAGTAGACTGGTTGTCACATGAGATCTGGATGGAGCTTTCAAATGGGAGTTTGAGCTCATTCATCAATCTTCTTAACCACAATCCTTCACAGATTCCTTGTGTTAAAGCTCTGAGCTCAGATTCCGCACTACTTCTAGAAACCACTGATTGTTTCTTGCTCCTCCAGGTGACTAAATTACCCCATACATAGGTACAGTAACCAGTAGTTGACCTTCTGTCTAGGAGGCTTCCAGCCCAGTCAGCATCTGTAAACACTTAATTCTTCCTTGTCCCTTGTTTCTGAAACAACAATCCTTTTCCAAGAGTCATTTTTAGGTACCTCAGAATTCTATACACTGCAGTTAGGTGTTCCTCAGTTGGGTCATTCATGAATTGACTTACCACACTTACTGAGAAAGCAATGTCTGGCCGTGTGTGAGATAGGTAGATTAGCTTCCCTACCAGCCTTTGATATCTACCCTTATCAACTGGTGGACTTTCAGTCTCACTGCCTAACTTCTTTGATATATCCATAGGAGTGTCCATAGGCTTGCACCCAAGCATTCCAGTTTCACTTAGCAAGTCTAGAACATATTTCCTTTGTGAAATGAAAATGCCCTTCTTAGATCTTGCCACTTCCATTCCCAGGAAGTACTTCAACTCGCCTAGCTCCTTGATCTCAAATTCTCTTGCTAGATGAGACTTCAATCTGTCCAATTCAGCCTTATAATCCCCAGTCATAATAATATCATCAACATATACTATAAGAATAGCCAATTTTCCAGAGTCTGCTCTCTTTACAAACAGTGTATGGTCTGCCTGACATTGCATGAACCCTTGTTTAATAACTGATCTTGTGAACCTATCAAACCATGCTCTAGGAGACTGCTTTAGTCCATACAAGGACTTTTTCAGTCTGCAAACCTGACCAGATTTCCCCAAGTCTTCTAATCCAGGTGGTACATCCATGAATACTTCCTCTTCTAGGTCTCCATTAAGAAAGGCATTCTTAACATCTAGTTGATGTAATGGCCAGTCTAGGTTCACTGCGAGTGATAACAGCACTCTAATGGTGTTCAACTTTGCCACTGGTGCAAATGTCTCTGAATAATCAATGCCATAAGCTTGGGTGAACCCCTTAGCAACCAGCCTTGCCTTCAGCCTTTCAATCTTTCCATCAGCCTGATATTTAACTGTAAATACCCACTTGCAGCCAA